TAGGATGACCATAAAATGCATGCAGACAACATTAGAACACGTTTATAATCACTCTATAGAATTAATTTAACATTTTTTTCATAGCCATACAACTCAATAATTCCATCTCTTTACCACCCTCTTGTGGCAACGTTGTGTAATTACTTCAGTCACAATCAGAATAACGTATAAGAAATAACATATAGTACAACAAAGACTGCCTAATAATCATCAAATCATTAAAACAACCCGTTTCCATATTTAGAAATTTCAATCACAAATTCATCCTAAAAAATTACAAATCACTAATTATACTGATGGGTAATTCTCAAGAGTTCCTCTATTATAACAGTTATATTATTAGCAATTATGAATACAATATGTTAATCGCGAAACAGGGCAGTGTAATTTTCAACAGAAATGAATAACCGGTACAATTTGAAATGCTTTTTACACAAGTTACATCTAATATAGTGTTAGGATTTAGCAGACAGAGACGGATCGTGGTGTGCCAAACTCTGGAAGTTTATTTAAGTTGCTCTCAAGTTCCACTGGTTTACTCTGTTTCTTTCCCTCAGACAGAATAAAGGCAGTACACAGTTTATATAGTCATTGTCACGTCACACATCGAAAGACATACGTGTCACAAAGAGACAGTCACATCATAGTCATAACATGGAGTCCTTGTAGAGTCCTTGTAGAGTCCTGCACGTAGGCCATATTGCTATCTAATACTAACACCCTCCCCTTTGATCACATAATCACATGTGATCACTCAAATCGATCAATCAATAAAATGGAAAAAGAAAAAAAAAAAATTCCAAAAAAAACTTCAAAAAATTATTAAAAACAAAGAAAATGTATGCATTAAACTCATAATCATCAAATCAATATCAGTGGATTTTATCCTCTATCCTGGAAAAAAAAAAAAACAAAACAAACAAAAACAAAGTAAATAAACAAACAAAAAACAAATCAAAAATAAAAACAAACAATTGTCAGTCAGTCTCAATTTGAAGCTAATTTCACTTTTATTACTCTATACTTTTATTCTAATGCTGATTGTTTACACTTCACTCAATCTTATTTCACTGTATTATTTTCACTTTTTAATCTTAGACTGTGTACTTTACTTTTACTATTCACTATAGTTTAAAACTATTCTAATCTATTTACAAATATGTTTGCATATTTGCTTCTATTGAGCCATATTCTTAAACATACATTTTAATCTAATAAATCTCTCTGTGGTTTTACACTCTCATTATCAGTGGCATATTATCAGTGGGATTTTGTTCTATCTCTCTTCTACATTCTCAGGAATAAAACTGTGAACACAGTAAGGCAAATGGTCAACATTTACACTTCTATAGTGGTCAGTGATTTATTACTTTTTATTATCTAAAGATATTATTGTCAGGCATTTGGGATGAATGTACATCATTAATCAAATTAGTATTATCCTTACAAGAGCTAATCTATTTTAGCAGGTTTGGGGTTGGGGTCAGTTATTCTACAATGGTGTTTGTGCTGGAAACTTCTCAATATCTAAATATCTACTATTGTGTTTTTGTGCTATACACAAATGCATCAAAATGCTTTTAAATGCTTTTGAATCTCTGTTGGTTCTAATCTATTTCATTGATCTAGGCATTAATCTAGGCTACACTCATATGAACTTTTTGTATTGTCAACATTCACTCATGTGTGAACACAAGTGAATTTGGCAGTATCTAATAAAACTGTACATAAACTGTAATTAACTTTATCTACTTCTGAAGTAAATGTTTGTGAAATGGTCCCTTTACCATTTGATATTAGCACTGGCTACAAATAATCTCTATTTTTGAAAGCATCTATGGTTGATGCATTTATCTAATTCTATATTTCCTCTATTTTTTAACTCCAAAGCTCGGCTGCAGCTTGAGCAAAGGCATATTTCTAATTTGTGACTTCTGTCACTTTTAATATCTCTAAAATACTCTGATTCTAATATTATAGCTGATCTATCAAAAGGATAACATTGTAGGGTACTATTTTAACTCTTATGTGGAAATATGTTTATGAAAAACAAAGGAAGTCAAATTCTACTCTTTTACTACTATTTAACATCTACTAAAACGCTACAATACTTATACTTTATCATTTTCAAAGTTTTTGTCTGTCAGATGTCTGAATACTTAACATTTATATTGCATTTGGTCACAGGTTCTGGTTGTAGCAATAGCATCGGCAATAGACGTTTTTCATTGGCTGGTTCTTGTTCTGCAAATGGCTGTGTCCAATAGATCATCAGATGTCCAGAAGCTAGGGACAAACAAAAACAAAAGAAAGAATCATGAGTATCTGTCTCATTTAGCACTCATCAATGTATGATTTCAATAATATAAACATCACTCCCCGGTTTTTCTCTCTCAGGTCCTCAGGTCCTCTGAGGGTGAGTCTCAGTCGTCATCAGGTCAGGTCATAGAGAGAGATGTCATCTTGGACATCAGTAGGGTCCAAGCCATGGTTTTGGTCTCCAGATGCACATCAGATCTCCAGATACAGTCTTTTCACTTGAAGCACATCAGGTCATTTGCGATGCACTTCTGGTCAATGGTGCAGTGTCTCAGTTCCTGTACACAGCTTGTTATGCAGTATTTACTCTCTATGGTTAAGTCATTTTGATTCTACTTTAAAGACAATTTCTATTCATGCTGTTGCTAATGTCCCTTAGACAAAAGCAAGTGCAATGATTTAGTTTACTTCTCTAATTTGTGTTTTTATCAGATCTAATTCTAATCAATGTAATTACTTCACACAGTACAAAATCAACAAATCAAAAGTGTCAGGACAGACGTCAATGAAGTCCATGACAATATAGAATTCAAATGAACATTTCTGGTCTCAAAAAATACTGATTCAACTAAAGATTCAAGTGATAGACAATTAAAAATATGTGTTTACATTGGAGTAAACTTTTAAAATGCTTTTTTCTCATGTTCTACTTTTTCATGTATCTATATGTAAATGTGAGTGTATGTATGTATGTATGTGTGTGTGTGTATATGAATTTTGGGGTTGTGTCTCAAGACTCCTCGAACCACCTGTAGGTGTCAAAGGTCACACTGTGGTGATGTAAACCACGTAGACACACTTTCAACTCCCTCTAGGTCTCTACCTGACGCTCCACCATCACGTCTCCAGAAACCTCTCTTTCATGGCCCCGGTCTCTCTCACACCCACTCAGTTCTGCAGTGGCGTGGGGAGGGGCAAGGAGGTGGCATTTTCCTTTGCTCTTTGATCTGTGACCTGTGGCTGGGTGGGCTTTGCGCTGTCCAGTGTCCAGCAGTGACCCTGTACAGTGTGTGCTCTTGGTTCTTGTGACGGGGCCACACAGCTTGTCCTAGTACTGAGAGCACCGCACTGGGACGTGCGCTCTTTTTCTCTGGAGCGTCCGTGTTATGCACGTACTACAGCAGCGTTTACACATTACCCACGGCTAGTTCTCTGTCTGGGGGGGAGTGTGAGTGCGTTTGGTGAGATCTCGGGTGCACACTAGGTCTCACCGTCGTGCTACTCACCGTTCGCGTGTGCGCGCACGTGCGTGCGCTCCTCGGGACTGCGCGCGCGTGTGTCCCGTGGGTTGGCCAAACAGAGGCAGAGACGCACACACACATTATAAGTGTTGAGGAGCGTCATGTGATCCTTATTTTGTGTTTTTGTTTCTTATGACTGTAAAGGGGGATTATTCAGTGTGGGGATTATCCTATTCTTTACTGTGTAGTGGGGGACTATTTCTATAGTATTGTTTTGGGGGTAAATGGACTTTAAAGTCAGTGAATGTATTTTGTGTTTGTCAAACGCCCAGGGGAGGGGCTTGTGCTTTAAGAGCAGGACCGGTCTGGCCTGCTCGAGTTTTAGTGATGCTTGGTTGCAGAGAAGGCAACACCTGAGAACCTGAGATGAGTATGCGCCTACAACTTGTAAATATTGCACTGTATTGCACTGGGATAATAATGGGAAATAATAAATCACTGTGAAAAGTGTTTTTTGACTGAGCCATTGTGTTTTTGGGAAAAGACCCCACAACATATGGTGTCAGAAGTGGGATGGCCAGTCAGAAGAAGCATTCTTATTTTCCGCGCAAACGCACCGGACTCAGGTCGCAGAAGACTGAGAGTTTGTCTTTGGGGGCCACCGGGGGAATAGAGCGAGATGAAGATGCCTGGGCGACGGAGGACGAAGAGGAGCCCTCCTCCCGTGGCCAACCTCCATCCGATGGATCAGGAGGGGAGCTATTGGCACTGATGCGGGGCTTCCTGGAGGGACAGCAGAGGAGGGAAGAAGGTCTGCTCGCTGAGCTCAGAGAACTCCGAGCATCAGGGCCACAGCGGGCTGGTTCCCCAGATGGAGATCGCTCATCCGCTTGGAGTCCACGAATCGACCTGCCCACTCCTGCACCTCGGCAGCGTGGCCAAAACTCCATGAGAGAGAGAAGCGGGGTACTGGAACAACCGAGACCAGAGGTCAGATCGTACAGTGACCCCAAAATTCCACTGTATCAGGTTGGAGAGGACATTGAGAACTATCTCCTGCGCTTTGAACGCATTGCAAAGACATGGGCGTGGCCAGAGAACGAGTGGGCTTGCCGCCTGGTTCCCCTGCTTACCGGCAAAGCATTAGAGGCGTATACAGCAATGGATGAGGAGCAAGCTCATTGCTATCCAGAGCTCAAAGCGGCACTGCTGGAAAAATTTGACATTTCCCCAGAGACATATCGTCAGCAGTTTAGGTCAACCGTTGTCCCTCCGAATGAAAACCCAACTGAAACGTATCACCGTCTGAAGTCCCTTTATCGACGCTGGATCCATCCGGGGCTACACACCAAGGAGGATATAGGAGAGGCTATCATCCTGGAGCAGCTACTTCGTGTTCTTCCGGGAGAGGTGAGAACGTGGGTGAAGGAACATGAACCAAAGAATGGGCTGGCAGCTTCCAAGCTGGCTCTCCAATACTTCAATGCTCGGAAGGGGAGCATGACGTCGTACTCCAGCAGCTCTGCTCGTCGACCAGCACCGCCGCCCAGATTGGTGAGACCAGAGGCCAGCCATGATACTCCTCCAGGTAACTCCGGACACCCCTCAAGTCGACCAGGATACGGTAAGGAGCTTATCTGCTTTTACTGTCAACAATCAGGACACAAGGCCTCACTCTGCCCTATCCGTAAAACAAAGCTCTCTGGTGCATGTTACGCGCCACGGCCTGAAAGAGACAGACAGACTGTGACTTTGAGACGGCATAAGCCTCTGGTAGTAAATGGACAAAGAGTGAATGCTTTGTTGGACAGTGGCAGCTTCATGTCTCTTGTAAGGCAGGATCTTGTACCAGTGAGTAAAATAGACTATGGGGTGCAGGAGGACATTGTATGTGTACATGGTGACAGACACCTCTATCCAACCACTGACTTGACTGTGGACATTGATGGGCAAACCTACCTGCTGACTGTGGGGGTTGTGGAGAACCCTGCCGGTTCAGGTAATACTTGGCTGGGACCTACCCATACTACTGGACTTGTTATTGGACAATAGACATGACCCAGAGGAGAAGGAGACAACCAGTCAATCCTGTGCGGTACTGACTCGGGCGCAGGCTAGGAACAATCTCCAGGTGGCATCAAAGACATTGGACTCGGGGGCTGGGGGTAGCCTGAATCCAGTTGGTGATAGTTTACCTGATCTACCATTTTCTTTTGATGACAGTGTTTTTGAGGGGGGTTCTAAAGGGCTGAGAAAGTCTCGGCGTCAGCGCCGTTTTGAAAAGCAGCTGCACAGGGAGTGCCCAGACGAGCGGGGGGAGATTAAAGGCCATTGGGAAGTGCCAGGGGACATTTCAGAGTTACAGAAGGGTGATAGTACGTTGAAACTGCTGTTTTCAAAGGTGATTAACAGTGCAAAAGAAGCTAAATTTGACCAGGAATGTTTTGTACTTGACAATGATGTGTTGTATAATGTGGGGGAAAGTTCTAAACGGCTGGTAGTACCTTCCACCGCAAGACCACTTGTTATGCACCTTGCACATACTATTCCGTGGGCGGGGCACTTGGGCCGACATAAAACCTATCTCCGTGTTAGCTCTAGATTTTATTGGCCATCCATGTATTCCGATATACAGAAATACTGTGCTTCGTGTCCAAGTTGCCAAAAGACATGCTTTGTCCGCAAATCTGACCGAGCTTTCCTTCAGCCTTTACCCGTCATTAACATTCCCTTCCGCCGCATAGCCATGGATATTGTTGGACCCCTCCCGAAAAGTAGCCGAGGTTTTCAGTATATCCTGGTTATTTCAGATTATGCCACCCGTTTTCCGGAAGCGTTTCCTCTGCGAACAATAACTGCTCCCGCGGTTGTGCGTGCTCTCATTCAGCTGTTCTCCCGTGTAGGAATCCCTGATGAAATTCTGACAGATCAGGGTACAAACTTCACCTCTCGGCTCATGCAGCTTTTCCATAAGCAGCTGGGAATCTCTCCACTCCGAACAACACCGTATCATCCTCAAACTGATGGTCTCGTTGAAAGATTTAACCAGACATTGAAGAAGATGCTGCGAAAGTTTGTATCAGACACTGGCAAGGACTGGGACCAGTGGCTGCCATTTTGTCTATTCGCCTATCGAGAAGTGCCGCAGGCCTCGACCGGGTTCTCCCATTTGAGCTCCTCTACGGCTGGGATGTTCAAGGTCCCCTGGATCTCCTGCGTAAAGGCTGGGAGGAAGCCACCCCTCAACCCAATGAACGAAGCATTGTACAGTATGTCCTGGACATGAGGGATAGGCTGGGGAAGTACCAGGAGGAGGCAGAGGTGAACCTGCGGGATGCCCAACGCAGCCAAAAGACCTGGTATGATCAGCAGGCTCGTCATCGGGAGTTCCAGGCTGGACAAAAGGTTCTCTTGCTGCTGCCGTCGGCAAACAGCAAACTATTGGCGAAGTGGCAGGGGCCTTACACAATTGTTCGCAAAATGGGCCCTGTGACGTATGAGGTGCATCATCCAGACAAAAAGAAGTCAAAACAGACTTATCATGTCAACTTACTCAAGGCGTGGAAAGATGCACCACCTTCCTTGCAATCCCTACTGGTGAAGAAAGTAGACTCAGATGAGGAGGAGTTGGGGATGGAGTCCCTGCCCAAATCTGCAGTTCCCGTGTTGGCCCACCTCACTCCAGAGCAGACAACACAGTTGTTCCAGGTTTTTGAAGAAGCTCCATCCCTGTTCCAAGCCAAACCTGGACGGACTACTTTAGTAGAGCATGTGATCCGCTTGAGAGAGGGACGCCCAATCCGCCAACGGTCATATCGCGTTCCACAGCACCTAGTCAACAAGCTCAGAGAGGAAGTGGAAGAGATGCAGTGGTTAGGAGTCATTGAGCCGTCTAATTCTGAGTGGTGTAGCCCAGTAGTGATAGTGCTGAAGAAGGATGGTTCCCTCAGGATTTGTATTGACTTCCGCAAACTCAATGCAATTTCAGAGTTTGACGCCTACCCCATGCCGCGTATTGACGAACTGCTCGAGCGCATTGGAAGTGCCCGGTATATCACCACCCTCGACTTGTGTAAGGGGTACTGGCAGGTGCCCTTGGGGAAGTCCAGCCGACCTTTTACCGCCTTCCAGACACCAGCCGGGCTCTTTCAATTTACTGTCATGCCCTTTGGACTGCATGGAGCCCCGGCCACCTTCCAAAGATTAATGGACAGAGTCCTCCAAGGGTGTGGTCAGTGCAGCGCGGCCTATCTGGACGACGTGGTGGTGTTCAGTCACACCTGGGAGGAACACTTGAACCACTTATCTTTGGTTCTGGGAAAGATTCAGGAGGCTGGATTGACCCTGAATCCTTCAAAGTGTGAGTGGGCGAAGAAAGAGACTCAGTACCTGGGCTATCGTCTTGGACGGGGTGAAGTGCGGCCGCAGGTTGATAAAGTGGAGGCGATTCGCAACTGCCCCAGGCCCCGGACGAAGAAGGACGTGAGGTCCTTTCTGGGATTATCGGGCTGGTATCGCCGCTTTGTGCCACAGTTCGCCTCCATTGCAGCACCCCTCACATCATTGACAATGAAAGACCAAAAGAACCCTGTAGTGTGGACCGATGCCTGTGAAACTGCTTTCCAGACGCTAAAGGCTAGTCTCTGTTCTTCACCAGTTTTGAAAAGCCCTGACTTCACCAAACGGTTTCTGCTCCAAGTGGACGCTTCAGCTGTGGGCCTTGGAGCGGTTCTCGCGCAAGGAGACCCTGGGGAGGAGCAGCCAGTCCTATATTTGAGCCGCAAACTGTTGCCGAGAGAGACTCGCTATTCCACCGTAGAAAAAGAGGGCCTGGCAATAAAGTGGGCATTGGACAGTTTACGGTACTATCTCTTAGGTAGAGAATTTGATTTAGAGACGGACCACCGAGCACTAACTTGGATTAACACTATGAGAGATCAGAACAGCCGTCTGACGCGCTGGTATTTGTCCCTCCAACCATTCCAGTTTCAAATTCGCCATCGGGCTGGGAAAGACAATATCGTGGCAGACTTCTTGTCAAGGCTACCGCACATCGCTAGCCTCCCAGAGGGGGAGGGTAATGTGACGGGGCCACACAGCTTGTCCTAGTACTGAGAGCACCGCACTGGGACGTGCGCTCTTTTTCTCTGGAGCGTCCGTGTTATGCACGTACTACAGCAGCGTTTACACATTACCCACGGCTAGTTCTCTGTCTGGGGGGGAGTGTGAGTGCGTTTGGTGAGATCTCGGGTGCACACTAGGTCTCACCGTCGTGCTACTCACCGTTCGCGTGTGCGCGCACGTGCGTGCGCTCCTCGGGACTGCGCGCGCGTGTGTCCCGTGGGTTGGCCAAACAGAGGCAGAGACGCACACACACATTATAAGTGTTGAGGAGCGTCATGTGATCCTTATTTTGTGTTTTTGTTTCTTATGACTGTAAAGGGGGATTATTCAGTGTGGGGATTATCCTATTCTTTACTGTGTAGTGGGGGACTATTTCTATAGTATTGTTTTGGGGGTAAATGGACTTTAAAGTCAGTGAATGTATTTTGTGTTTGTCAAACGCCCAGGGGAGGGGCTTGTGCTTTAAGAGCAGGACCGGTCTGGCCTGCTCGAGTTTTAGTGATGCTTGGTTGCAGAGAAGGCAACACCTGAGAACCTGAGATGAGTATGCGCCTACAACTTGTAAATATTGCACTGTATTGCACTGGGATAATAATGGGAAATAATAAATCACTGTGAAAAGTGTTTTTTGACTGAGCCATTGTGTTTTTGGGAAAAGACCCCACAACAGTTCTGGAAAACAACCTTATAGTCAAATTAAAAACAACAGAGATTGTGAATGAGATTGTTTTTCTCTCTGAAGTCTAAACAATTTTGAAGCGCTCTTGGCTTTCCCAAGCGCTATGTAAATAAAAGATTACTTATTATCTTACTAATGATGACATTTAAAACCAGAAACTCTCAATATAAAAAAACAAGACTCAAATCTCTTAAACCTTCAAACTTTAAAATATGTATTATGTACTTTTGTACTGTGTGATGTTTTTAATCTTGAACATCTTGGGTTTCACTTTATGGACTTTCCCTTTTACACTTATTTATCTCAGCATCTATTTTACTAATTTAAAATAATTGCAGCATTTTTCAAATGAAGTCAGTATGAATTGGAGCACATTTTAGACCAGTCTCCTCTGCTGTGGCATCAGCAGGAGCAACAAGGTCAGGCGTGTAGTCAAAACAAAAACAAAAGTCACCACTTGCATGTGAATTGGGTAGTTTAACTTAATAATATAATACTTTTACAGCCTAATTCCCTCTTTCTTTTTTAGACGAAGTCTACAATCATTAATCACTTTTAACAGATTCTAATTTAAATGTTTGAAAAACGGCTTTTGTAACTAAAATAAAAAATACATGAAAAAATTCTCACAAACAGCTATGAAATATATCAGAGATACAATAATGGACTCACAAAATAAGCAGCAGATTTAAAAAGAAAAGCAAAGCTTTTTGTACTAATCTTTGGGTTTCAAAAACATACTAATTCAAAACTTCTTCACTAATGGTGTTTAAAAACGTTTAACTGTGTCTAACACAATGTTCAAATGGCAAATTTAGCAAATTTAACGGAATAACAACTATGAAAAGCCAAAAGTCCTAAAGCAGTAGCTTTGCTTCAGATTCACAGCCAGAGCAGCGAAGGAGGGGGCCGTTTCCCTGACAACGGCAGCAGATAGAGCGACGCACACACACAGGCAAAAAGATACAGAAGAATAACTTTCAAGATTACTTTGTTAAGCGAATATAACTGATGTTGTTCTTTATACTTTTGTCATCCAAATCTAGAAGTGATCACTTTCCACACTAGTAACAAAAGGCACTCTTTAGTGTTTAACGTTTCCCTTTTTATAATTACTTTTAAATTCTACACCATGGTTTCTCTCAAAGGGACTTTAACCCTGAAGCTTCTTCTCAAAGGGACTTTAACCCCGAGGCTTTTCTCAAAGGGACTTTAACCCCGAGACTTTCTCAAAGGGACTTTAACCCCGAGGCTCAAAGGGACTTTAACCCCCGAGACTTTCTCAAAGGGACTTTAACCCCGAGGCTCAAAGGGACTTTAACCCCGAGACTTCTTCAAAATACAATTTAGAGAGTTTGACAGACCCCAAAAAACAGACCAAAATTTAGCTAATATCCAATTATGCAGACTTTACATATTAAAAAAGGTGTCTGCTTACCTTATTCTTGTCAAACCGGTTCCAAGGACTGTCCGAGAGGTCTGCCAACTCTTTTCCGCGTCGGAATCTTCAATTTAAAAAACAAAAGTGACAGAAGCGACAAGAAGCATCCAGGAACAGCTCTTCCAGCCTGCTGGAATCTCCGCTCCCAGACACAGCATGCCGATCTCTCACGCAGAGGAAAAGAAACAGAGCAAAACTCCCTCAAAACAATCCAGAGAATGGCACACACTGAGCCGCGCATTCTCCACCAAATCTGTTAGGATTTAGCAGAGAGAGACGGATCGTGGTGTGCCAAACTCTGGAAGTTTATTTAAGTTTCTCTCAAGTTCCACTGTTTTACTCTGTTTCTTTCTCTCAGACAGAATAAAGGCAGTACACAGTTTATATAGTCATTGTCACGTCACACATCGAAAGACATACGTGTCACAAAGAGACAGTCACATCATAGTCATAACATGGAGTCCTTGTAGAGTCCTTGTAGAGTCCTGCACGTAGGCCATATTGCTATCTAATACTAACAATAGCTATGGTTTAATACTAGTCTATCCGTCAAACCGGTAAATAATACAAGAGAGACAGTGTTGGCCTCTATACCACCTCAAATATAGCAGTATTTGTATCTGTCGGCTTCCATTTCTGCCCCACAGTATACAATAAACTCAACACAGGCTAACAACATAGAGTATATTCCCCTGATAACCTATTAAAATGTGAGAAGGAAGAAGCAGTATCCCTTTGTTCAGCAGTTTCTAAATATGGCAGGTTATATAGAAGAAATAAATGACAGAATAGGAGCCAAGTGAAAGTGTAGACTCTATGTAGCAAGTATACAATATTATTTTTTGTTTTCAAATGACTTTAATTAATGATTTCAGTTCTACGTTTTAGTTGTGTTGGTAGCTTTGACTGTTTTACATGTCCAATAATGTAATGTAGCGTTTTCTGGCTAATAAAGAAGATTTTTTGATGTCTATTGATTGATGTTTCTTTTATGTTTTCCTTAGTCGTGGGTTTCAGAAGGATGAAAAATGAGGACCCCCTGGTGATTTGCCCTATATGATATACAGTATTTTGAATTGCAAGAAATCCTGTTTGCAAGCTGAAATCCTTGAAGCTATTTTCATCTGACTGAATCTGTTTTGGACTACTGGTTATTTAACAAAAAATACTGCAAAGGTTTTATATACAGTAGCGATTTATTTTGGACTCTCAAAGATGCTTCACATGGAATTATTACTTTCAATATTGGGGCAGAATGACAGTAGCATGGTTCTTTTGTGCCCTCGGACCCTCTGACTAACACAGAGGGGCCGTGTTAATAACAATAACAAATAACAAAATAACAAAATTAACAAATGTAAACAGCTTTGTGACTCTGGTCTGTGAAAGGCGGTATATAAATAAAGATTACTTACTTATAAATAAAGATTGCTTACTTACTTACTTACTTACACACACCAGACTTATACTAAGCCATGTGTGTGAAGTGTCTTGCCTAAGAACACAGCAAAAGGTTGGCACTTTACAGCTGCAGTCGCCCCACATATAGCATCTGGTATTTCCAATCATTTCACTTGATAATAATGTTTTATGTGAGTCCAATTATTGCAACTCCAGACAAAAGAACAGGTGAGAGAAATGGAGAAGTGAGTACATCTCCATGGAGATAAGGCGTATCCTCCATCAGAAATGTGAATCTTATGAACATAAACATGTTTAAGGTACACTTTGTCACCCCCAGAGGGAATTTTGACCCATCTTTCCCATCTCCAAATACTGATGCAAAAACCTTCACTGGATGATTATAGCTCTGGTGCAGGTTTTGGGTGGTGCGGAAAAACCGGAGCGCCCGGAGGAGCCCTACCCAGACATGGCCAGAAACATACTCACAGAAAGGCTTCACAGCACTTTTTTAATGTGATTATTTAGGATTTTAACGTCTTGTGTGACCGTCTCTGTCTTGTTCTGCACTTTGAGTTGCCTTGTGTATGAATTGTGTTATACAAATAAACTTGCCTTGCCACCACCCAGCCACCTTGCTCCTTATTGTGACAAAGCCTTTCCAAAAAAAGATCCAGACCCGGTCCTTTTTGAAAAGGTCGATCGAGGCAAACCTTTGATTCCGCTCGTCTGTCCCGGGACAACAGAAAGAATGTGTTGTGTTTGGGCCCAGTTCATTGTCAAAGTGTAAAGGACAGTCTGATAATAGCCCTCCACTCAGCCTCTGTCCCCCTTTATGAATGTGCACAAGACGTACGAGATTCTTATTCATGAAGGTAGAAAAGGAAATTGGTTCCTTGGCATTGCCTTTGTGTTCCTGCTCAATGTAAATGCTGACCACATTGTGTTTCTGTGTAATGGATTCTGCAGGTCACAGGAAGCTCCTTATCTTAGCGCCGCGAGGAGAAACACACTAGAAATAATAAACAATTGCAATTTTTTTGGAGTGGGTTTTTACCGCTCAGACTTTGCTTCACTTTATCTTGCGATGTCTTTCGTGATATTTGCTTCCGTCCTTTTTTTCAGCAGGGTTGGGAAAAGCAATAAGTTTGTGAATGGCTGTCCCTGTTGACCTGTCTGAGATGGTGGCTGCAGAGATGTTATCGGGCTTCTGGAGATTTGTTTTGTTTGTAGGAGATGGACAGCGGTTTTACAGCGGAAATGTGAGGTTTGTTCTGGGCAGATGTTGCGGCTGTGAAGGTGCTTTGAGTTCAATCTTGTATTTTGTTCGAGACATAAACTTTATTTGCACTTTAGAATGTTCCTATGGCGTCTTCCTTATCTCTGATGCACTCCAGACAAAACAACATAGTTAGATGGAGCTGAGTACTAAGCAAAGCCTCCATCACGAAAGTTGCGTAGTGCACCTTTGACTGTGTGGTTAATAGTACAATTTGTTATAATGCTACAAACAGCACAAGTTTCCATGACAACGCCACATCAGGATGAGCCATAAACATAGACAGACAATCAAAACCCCTAAGCTCAACAAGGCCTATGGGCGAAGTTTTGCTCCAACTTCCTCTGCTCCTGTTGACGTACATTAAAAAGTAATCTCCTCTAGCTCAGTAACCCTTTGTGTCAAACTCACCATTTTGGACTTAACAAAAATCTGTTTAGCGCTCACTGTGATTCTGGTGTTCATAATTTGATATGTAAATTCAGATATGACTCATTAGCTTTTTCAGATACGTGAAAAAGAGAGGATCACCCTCAATGTCAATCAGTTCTCAGCCCATAGCATACAATAGTGACACTTAACAGGGTTATTCGGTTTTATTGTACTTGTGACACACTTGTTTTATAGCAATAATATTCTAATGCGATATCGTCCACCAACCTTAGTATTTGTGGCTATGGACGAGGCCTGTACTCAAAACCCATCTTTTCAAACAAGCTTTTCTGTAAACCTCTTTTTTATCATTGTATTTAATTCCCCATGTGAAGCGTCTTTGAGTGTCCAAAAAAGCACGCTACAAGTTTGATGTATTTTTGTTATTATTATTATTATATCTGTAGTATGTCTGTAATGCACCTTATACAGCCAAAATATAAAATATTTTGCAAAACCATTTATAGTGAAATTATAATGACAGTTGTGGATGAAGTTCTGTATCATCTCCAATGGCAAATCTTTTTGGTAAACAGTTCCAGTTCCTGGCAATGGAAATTTTTGAGATCTCCACAAAACAGCTCATTTATGTCAAAATATGAAAATAGAAAACAATATTTGGCCACACACAACCACTAATGACGAGTGGGTGAAGAAAGTTTTTGTGTTAACATTAAGCCAAAACAATGACATTTTTGCAACGTTGGCATAAACAAGTTTTGAATAGCAGTTAGCAGGGACTGTCGTAAATTGATTCTGCCGTTGTACGATCCATGAGCTACGTGAGAGTGTCGCTCATCCCCTCGCATTAGTTCCTCATGTGTGAATATTCAGGCCAGGACTCACTCATCACTTCCACCACATATGGACAGAAAATGGCTTCCCTGTCAAACTGTCTCAGCCGTTCCGCCATACCTGGATCCCCGAGCGCGGATATTCACCTGATGATGCATTATGCCGAGTGAGGACGTAGACAGGCATAACCATCTCTAATAGGTGTGTCAGTCAGGAGGCCGCTGCAGGGCTGGAGAGCTGCACTGGGCCGGGCGGTTTTAGAGGAGAGAGTGTTGTGACGGGAGCAGAGCTGACGACCGACTGACAGCTTCATCTAAAGAAATGTTTGGGGAAAGAAAGTGTTATTAAGTTCAACTGTCCTGCCCACATCAATTCCCATGCAGAGACTTTTGGGGGAAAAAAATATTTCAAGTTGAAAGCTGTAGTGACTTTAGTGCTTTGCCATACAGGATGAGAGACACTCACTCAGATGCTGATGTAGGACTTCACTGGTGCAGGTTTTTGTCATGGCGTGGATTTTATTTCTGTATTTGGTTTTATTTTGACATTAGTTCTCTGTGGTTTCATATCAGTTTTACTTCCTGTCCTGTTCCCCTGTTGATTGTCTGCCCCGCCCTGATGCGTGTCACCTGTGTCTCTGTCTATTTGTACCCTGTGCTCCTCTCTGCTTGCTGGTCCACTTTATTGTACATGTCTGTCCTCTTCCTGGTTCCTAATTAATGCCATTAGGAACCAGGAAGAGGACAAAGTTTTATTCATTATCATAATCAAATGGGCGGCACGGTGGCTGAGTGGATAGCACTCTCGCCTCTCAGCAAGAAGGTCCTGGGTTCGAATCCCGGCCGGACCAGGGCCTTTCTGAGTGGAGTTTGCATGTTCTCTCCGTGTCTGCGTAGGTTTCCTCCGGGTACTCCGGTTTCCCCTACCACTAAAAACATGCACAATAGGTCTGGCATGCGCCTCCTGTACTGGCGACCCCGCTCCCATCTCTGTGTGGAGTGAGTGGACAAATGCCCAAAAATAATAATAACAATTGTAAACCGCTTTGTGACTCTGGTTTGTGAAAGGCGGTATATAAATAAAGATTACTTACTTACTTACAAATACAGTATTTATTTTTGACATTCCTGCATTTTTGGGTCCTTCTCGTGACAGTTTTGGGTGGTGGGAAGAAACCTCAACCAGACATGGCCAAAACATGAAAACTCACAGTAAGGCCCTAGAGCAGAACCAGGTCTTTCTTGCTGTGAGGCATGAGCATGCACTACCCTTGCTCCTTATGCTACTAAAAGTGCACCTAGTCCCTGTTAAATAGTTCGATGAACGTGAACTTTTGATTCTGTTTGTCTGTACTGGGACATTAGAAAGATACAGACATTTGAGTTCAGCCCATGCCAACTCGCATGCAGAGACTATTTCAAGTTGAAAACTATAGAACAGGGGTGTCAAAAAAGTTTTGGTCAGGGGCCAAATAAGACAATTAGGAACTTGTCGGGGGCCAAAGAAATAGAGGGGATTTCCTTTTCTTAGAACTGTTTTTTATATCATGAAGGTATTTTGACATTTTTCTGAAAAGAAAATGTGATTATTGTTAAGATTGAACCAAAACTGGGCCACATATGTAGTTATTTCATACTTAACTTCAAATGAGTTGGGTTAAAATTTCTTAAGAAAAGTCATAATGGGTCAAGTGGAAGGTCTAGTTTATTTATATCGCACATTTTAAAAAACAGATATGACTGCCACAAAGTGCTTTCAAGATGAGGCATAACATGTGGTAAACCATGACCATCAAAGCTGAAAAATAATAGTTATAAATTCATTTTAGGGGCCACAAAAAATTGTCTTGCAGGACCAGATTTGGCCCGCAAGCCTGAGTTTGACCGGCCTGCAATAGAGGATCAGAGCTCATGCCACACAAGAAGTTCCTATTGTCGGCCTGGCTTTTCTCTGTTGAGTTTACATGTTCCTCTGAGTGGAGCTCAGAATCCTCCAGCTCTGGTTCTGACCAAGCTGAGCAACAACAGGTGCAGTGCTAATCGGAACTACGGAGCTTTGTAGCTATAATCCGGCAAATTTATATTTGTTTTACACTGATGTTCATTAATGTGCATTGTCCCAATTATATAAATAGATCAATTAATAATGCAGGATTGAAATATTAACTGTATGCATGAGGAAATTGATGCATCTAGTTATTTAGAATTACTGTTATATTACCATGTCTGTATTTAAAAGCCCAGGTTTCGAGTAGACAGCTTTGAATCACATTTTTGAGACATAAAAGTGAATTAGACCCAAGGCAGTGTAATGGGCTCTTAAAGATACAATGTTTTTTGTTCCATCCATCCATTTTCTACCCTTTAATCCATTTCTGGGTCAGGGGGGTGACAGTCAGAGATGCCACCCAAGTCTCATAGCACCAGCCCCTCACTGACCCTCTGCAGGTGGTGAGTCCACAGGAGGACGGCTGCTCTCTGAGTGTGAGCATAGCCTTGATCTTTCAGTGGGGGCTTTGGGCAAAGTGGGGTTAAGTGTCTTGCCCAAGGACACAACGACAGCAGTCATCAGTGGGAGTCAATGGAGAAGGTGCAGAGGTGGGAATTGAACCCACGACCTCCTGGGCTTAAGGCCAATGCTCTACCAACTGAGCTACTGTCGCCCCTCTTAACAGCCTCGATCAATTTCGTGATGTTTTTTGTTGATTTGTTAATATATAACTTTACCTGTGCTTTCAGTTCTTTCTGGGAGACAACCTTAGAAACAGTCAATATTAATAAATGAGGGTTGTATCATTAGCATTTTGAGTAATTGTCAAAAGAGCTGATTTCAACTAACTTGACGTGAATACATTGACTCAAAAATAGATCAAAACAAATGCAAATGGAATGGTAAGCATATACTGAGCGATCTGAAATACACATTTACAACATTGACACATCCCTATCCAAATATTTAGCATGAATATCTTCTTTGTTAGGCACAAATACTGACCTTAAAGCACAGATTCACGCTGACCTTTATGATATTGATCCACGAGTCGATTCCCAGCACGTTGTGTCCCCATTGTCACAAGTCTGGAGCAGTTTATAGGAATCATGGAGCTAATGACATTAAGGCCACAGAGGCTAAAAGATAAGTGCTCTAATCTGATTCTGCACAACGATTCTACACAATCTTTTCAAACTATCTTGATTTTAGTTTTGTACTGGTAGGGTATTGCACAATAAAAGAGGTAATTTTTCTCTACCTGATACATTTCTACCCATCAGAATAAGTAGGCGAGGCAGACTGAGGGAGATTGGTCCTCTTTTTCGGTCTAAAAAAAAAAAAGAAGCTGTAATGTGTAATAAACTAGCAAGAGAAGCAAGCCGTTAAGAGATTAGTTTTTGTTTGCCTTGAAAAGCAAAGGCAAAACAGTACTCTAAAAACTGTAATCAGACGCTCAATACTTCAAGAACAACTCCTTCATCACCACTAACTGATGTTGTTCAAATCAAAGCGGCTCTGAGTGATTTTTTTGCAAGTTCCAAGCTGTTTATTTTTTCTCAACAGAAGAAAATAAAAAACGTCAGCCAGCACAAATCACTAATAATTGAAATAAATGGGCCCACTTCTGCTGCAATCATGGCATTAATGGCGGCGCCTGTTTGGGGTAAAAATGTCACTAGTCTCATTGTGAAATTGATGGCTTGTGCGACAGCGTTCCAGGCGTTTTATCATCTATGGAAATGGGTGATTTTAATGAGGAAAATGTATTACAGGAATTAGCCATTTAATGAAGTGAACAGGAAGAAAGTTCTTTTGGAAATCACTTATGTACTTCAATTAACAATCGCTGCTTTGAATTTTCTGCATTCGACTTTTGTCTGCTGGAATCTGTACTTAACTCGAAAGCATCTTTTGTGTGTGGTAATAAACGAAATTGATCGAGGCTGTTAAGACGTGACATGAAGTTTATTACACTGGCGCAATTTAATCCATTACAGGGTATAATGCACACACTTGGGAGCGGGATGTTTAAGAATAATTACAAAACATAGAAGTCTCAATGTCAATCAAGAAAACTCCTTGTGTTAATGACCTTTTTGAAGCCAACGCTAACAGTGTCCAGGTTTTCTAACTGTCTCTAACTGCCAGACGAGGTACTTAAATCTGCATCTTTTCCCATCCTCAACATTTGTCTCTTGCAAACTCAAGAGACACCAGTGGCTTCACATCTACATATTATTTTCTACGTAAGCGTCACATAAATGAGGAATGACAAAAAAAACTAAATGGAGTAAAAAGAGTGTATAATAGGCTTCACAAATAATAAAAATGGAAAACTCTTTAAACTCTTGACGAATGGCAAGTGCCCCCGGTTCCGTGTTGCCCACAGCTCTGACAGGACACAGAGGACGTGGCTCCTCACTCTTTCCGGCGTTTCTTGTCGTGGTAGTCGTCTTTGGAGCGGCTGCTGGTGGAGGGCCGTTTGGAGCCTCCGTGCTGCTTGGCCTCCTCCAAGAACTTGTCCAGACCGAAGGGATCCTCCTCAAACTGGACAGGCCCCTCCGGGCGGCTCTGGCTGTCTGCTCCAGTGAAGCCCCGGTCAGGGACAAACCTGAAGAGTTGACGAGAAAAAGAGAGTCTTCAATGGCACTAAAAGTCATAGCAATTACTTTCGTCAGTGGATTTCAATGTAGCTCTCAAGGTCCTATGATAGTGTAATGCACTCAAAAACAGATTCTCTCAAAACTACAGTTTCTAAACAGCAGAGACCATTTGGACTCCCAAAGGCAAAATTTGTTATAATAGTTTACCATATCTTTTCTTTAAACAATACATTTACTACATTTTAAAGATGGTCACACCATTAGGCGACATAGGTGTGTGTTCCCTATCAAACTATAATCAGCTTTTTATTTAGTTGAAGTAGTGCTGTAACCAACAATTCTTTTGATAAATGATTAATGAAGTAATTACTAATTATTCTTCCGATTAAAATAAATATAGATTTTTTTTTTTACAATTGTTTAACTCATACAAAAGTTTATATCTATATTAAACCTGGACATTTACACAATTCCTCATATTTTCTGTGTTTAATCCCTCTCGGTGTTACAATAAACCTCCAAATATTAATACGTCAACAAGCAGTGAATGCGTAAAATAGAAAGTTACATTGTGATTCATTGCTAGAGTCACTGATAAAAAGCACATTTCTGACACTAAAAACCCCTTTCTTCATTGCTAGAGTCACTGATAAAAAGCACATTTCTGACACTAAAAACCCCTTTCTTCAGAATTGGGTATAAACCACTTTCCACCTGTAAAGTTGGTGACCTGCAGAAATAAATGAGTGTGGCTAAAACATATGGGACAGGGCTGCTCAGCAGGCTGTGGACAAGAGCTCCTGCTGGGACCTCCCGTGTCCCCAAAACCTGGAATAGCCTCAAATATGCTGGTATAATTTATTCAAAGTGGTTCAGTAGTTCAAGTAGCTTCCTGCTCAAGTTTGAACAGGAAATTGCATTCATTAATTTGTTACATTCTTCAGTCATGTATTGTTTTGCCACAGAGGCCTTTTCTGCTCTGACCCCAGAGTACACCTTGCTCTTATGTCTGAGACAGCTTTTTGACCGAGTTCCACTGAGACCAATAAAATATACATCCATTATAACAAGAGTGTTTGCAAGTGTGACGTGCGCTCGTGATACCTGTTGCTGCGCATGAGCGAGTCCAGGTCATCGGCGTACGCGTCCTTGTCGATGTTCTTGCTCGGTCTGTAGATGTTGGACGCCATGTTTTTGTTGCCGCGGAATGGCTGGTCGTAGACGTTGTAGGTTTCATCCTCTCCACCGGCGAACCCGCTGTCCATGCCCTGGAATTACAAACCAAAATCTACCGGTTTAATATCAAAAGAATGTGGTTGTTGCTGAAATACGAACACAGTAGAGGTATGCAGAAAAAACAAAATGGTAATTATAATCGGCATGGATATTTTTTGTTGCTTGTTTCATGAAGAATAATGAGTGAAATATTGGCATGGTCAGTTTCTATCATTCCAAAACGTATACATTGAGTTAAATCAAAATGTGGATCTAGTAGGATGGGGCAGAATATGTCTATAATCACAAAGCTTACATAAATATAATTTACATTCACAGTAATACCCATTAGATACAGTATTAAACTAAAAACAAAACTGCATTGAATTGTGGAGCCCTGTTCTCTGCCTGAGGAAGAGGCACCAGGATAGTCCAGACAGTAGGCTGAATGAGAATCATTTTTATTTCCATGTACGTAACAGGAAGTCACAAACTAGGAAATTGCTTTGGCTCGGTGCAAACAGTCAAAGAAGAGAAGTAAAGAATGGAGTAAGGCATAAAAAGAAATTAGCATACACTTCTAAGATATACAAATCCTGCCCGAGGGGAGAGGTTGGAACAGTCTATGTGCAGGGTGAGAGGGGTCGGCTGTGATACCAGTGATGAAGAGTTCGTACCTTGCTCTGGTTGAAGAGGCGCTGGTCATACTGGACTTCACTGGAGGTGCGTGGATTGGGTACTCCCAGAGCAATCAGCTCACTGATGTCCCTGTCCTGGTCTCTCTGCAGCTTTGATCTGACAAGCACACATTCTCAATTAGAATGGAATCACAAAATCACAAATAAAGGCCTGTTTAACAGACATATGAACGTTTCTCACACTCTCAGGTCGAGACACTGGCTATGGCCTTCTGTGCAATTGTTCTCCAAGTAGTTCACCATAGACGCATTTCAAAATTAAACTATAGCCAAAAATTTATAAATATTGCTATGCTTAGAGATCAGAATCATTTAGGTTTAGGGCAGCTGTCTCTGTCAAGTGTTCGCAATTTCATTCCTGCAGAAGCACATCCTAGGTGTTTTGAATGAGTTTCTTTTACTACAATTGCTTCCAAAAGCCTTCCAATAGCTGAAACCAAGTCACGCCTTTCCTGTGTTTGTCTAGCACTTCTTTCCATTTTGATGATTTTCCTGCCTCTTATTCCCTTCAAAAGAATCTCTGCACACAGCACCTGGATCAGTGCGCTCCCCTGCTGGGTTTGTTGGGCATTAGTGTGAATAATTCAGCGGGTGAGAAGAGTGCGTGTGCGGACACCTCTTATCGGGCGCGGCTCTGGCGATGTTCCTGTCGTGCTGTCTCTCCTTCCGTCTGTCGTAGCGGATCTCGTCACGCTCCCTGACCTCCCCGACGTCGTCACCACCTGCTACTAAAGGAGGAGGAGGAAAAGAGGAGTTCACTAAATCCGTTCCCCTCGCTCTGGTGCAAAGTTTCAGATGTGGAGAGAAATTTGTAATTCTCATTGCATACTGAGGTAGTATGAAAGTAAGCCAGGTAAGATGCCGCGCGGCGTCTCGAGTAGATTCAACGGACGCGTTCAAATCCGCAAAAATCGAACATCCAAATCTTTGAATTATCGAATCACATGAGACCGCACGTAGTGACAAGTGAGTGTTGTGGTTGTTGCATCAGAGATAGAAGTTTTCTTTTCAAAATGCAGCGACAAGTCAAGCTGCAGTCTTTAGTTGTTGAGTCAATTATATCGGTCAATGGAGTTCAATTATCCAATTTCAAAGGCAAGGAATTGGATGGGAAAACTGCAAAACATAGGTCTGAATGAGTCCAGTTTGATTTGGACTCATTCAACAGTGTGATTCTCCAAAACAATGGCAAAACATTTGAGGGATTGTATGCCAATAAATTTACTGTAAAAGTAACTAAGTCAGTAGAGTACAATTTGCATCAGATAAGATTTTTGTATTGCGGAAAAAAATCCTTTATTGTATACAGGGATAAAGCGTTCCAAGCTTACGGCTCGACCGCACGGCATTGTGGGTAGTCTTTTAAAAAAAAATGAGCATAAAATCACGCTCTCCTATTAGATTACCTGTTGCGAGCGTGATCTGTCCCTCTTTTTTTCCAGCCCATCGATTGTTTTAATCGCTACAAAAATCACCAATTTCAGACATTTAGAAGGTAAAGATTTTTTCATGTAACAAAAAAGCAATGCATTTTTTGCTGTTTTGGTTTTAGATGTAAACACAACCAACTGACGATAGAGCTACGCGCAGTTCAGGCTACTTACGAGGATCGAATGCTTACACGCCAGCTTTATAAACTTACCCAAAGCTGTACCTTGGACGTAGAGCCCTCAGAGTTTCATGAACTTATAAATAACATTTCTGATCAGAGCATTCAGAGTGGGGACATTATTAAGAACAAACAGTGAGCGGGCAGTAGAGAGGTGTGCAGTAGGCTTTAAAGACCTTATGACGGGTTTAAAAAAAAAAAAAAAAGTGGATATCAAAATTGCATGACAATGTCAATTTGAAAGAGATTCCGGCAAAAAAAATCCTATATTTTATAAAAAGAACGTGTTTTTCATGAATATAAGCTGTCTATGCTCTAACCTGTGTGTGACGTCATAGCGGGTTACGCCCATGCATTGAAAACCATGGATCTATGCCACAGGACTGCCTTTTCTCTCTTCTCTCCACTGATGCCCAACACAATACTGCACTCTACAGGTGACAATTGCTCACTACACATAAATTGCCGTTTTGAGTGTGATAAAGTGTCCGAGGTGGGATTTGAACACCAAAGTGATACATTCTAGTAGTTATCTTAGACTTGCTGTACACGGCCTTGTCATCTTGAATATCCGCGAAAAAAGAACGAATACCAAATTGTAAACAACTTACAGCGTTGAAACGTACCCGTTCTGACGTCACCAAGGGCTGTGAAGTTTTTTCGTTTCTAAGGGCGTTGCTATGGGGTTATTTCGATTTGGGGGGGATCAGACAAAAAAAACAACAACTGATTTTGAAACCTTTAGTAGTTCTCTTCTAATATAAAATGGTATTAAAACTGTATTTCTAAATAAATCAAACCCGTCATAAGGTCTTTAAACAAAGTTATCTTCACTTTATCTGTACACATGTGAAATCTCCAAGTGTCAGCCTGTCAATACAGCTTACAGTACTGCCTCTGAATGTCATCGTCATCACTGAGGTACCTCCTGATTACGTGCCCCAAGTATTTGGCCTTTTCTATATTCAGAAGCTCCACACCAGACAAATATGTCCAAAGTACAGCTTTGGGGAAGTTTATAAAGCTGGCGTATAAGCATTCGATCCTCGTAAGTGGCATAAGCTGCGCGTAGCTCTATCCTCAGTCGGTTGTGTTTACGTCTAAGACCACAAGAAAACAAGAAAAAATCTTTACCTTACCCTTCTAAATGTCTGAAATTGGTGATTTTTGTAACGATTAAAACAATTGATGGGCTGGAAACAAGAGAGACAGATCACGCTCGCAACATGTATAGGAGAGCGTGATTTCATGCCCACTTTTTTGAGAAGACTACCCACAATGCCGTGCGGTCGAGCCGGAAGCTCGGAACTCTTGAACCCTGTATAATACAGGATTCAGGATACAATACGAAAAATCGCGTCCTGTACTGTATTACCTTACCTAACATACTGTGTTGAAGTGTTCAACAACACCCAAAGATGTAAAAACAAAAATATTTTGTGCTTAAAGAAAATAACTATAAGTGTGTTCTAATCTAACTTCCCAAATTTCGATCAACTCGTAAAAGTTTGTGTGACTGTATGTGGTGTCAAACTGTGGAATGCTTTGGATCCTCAATTAATGCAATGCCAAGATATTCACAGATTTAAGTCATTATTAAAAACTATGTCTGGTCCGAATACAGAGAGATTATGACTTGAATGTATTTCTATGTAGCTTTTCCCTCGACTCATGTTGGCATGTACTTGTTACTTACATTTTGGAGCATGTTTCTTTACCATTGTTGGCATTTGCTGTTCATTACCATTGTTGGTATTTTTTGTTATTTTTTGCATGCAGTTGTCTGCCCTCGTAGAGCTTACCTTTGTCCTTCGTTGATATTCTCAAAACTTATTCTGCTTATGATCAAGATGTTTAAGATATTGCAATCTGTGCTAAATTTACGTTGGAGTCAATAGGAAGCCTTTACTTTAGTAAATAGGGGTGGGATTAAATAAGTATTTACTTCTTCCCTTTTGGTATGAAGACTGCCATACATTGAAGAATGTTCTCAAGCAAAAGGAGAAAGTAAATATAGATATGATGTAACATTCATGGCATTTCATCTTAAAATGCTATTATGAACATTATTATTCATTATTTTACCAAACAACAAAAACAAGACCAAACCAAGTATGGCTACACACTCAAAGCCAATCAAAATAAGTAGCTGATCATTTTTCATCATTTCAAACGCATAAAAGCACTTGCCTTTGTCTCCATGGCTCTTGATGCCGGCTCTGCGGTCGCGGGCCATCTGAGCCAGCTCCCGGAGTTTCTCCTCTTTCTTTTCCTTCTCTTTCTGTGCCATCTTCTTCTCCACTTGTGCCCTCATCTCCACAGCTTCTCTTGCCTGTAGGAAAACCACACAAAACGCACACCGTAAGTATCACACAAAGCCACATTTTGATTCGCACTCGTTTGTAAAATGCAAAATAGTACCTTTCTATCAGCAATGTAAAGGGCCTCAGCCAATTTAGAAAAGTTTTCATTAATATGTACAGTTTGAAGCCCTCGTCCGTCAGCTGCCAGACGTTTATCCAGAGGAATCGTGTAACCCTATGAACAACATAGGGAATTAAAATAATTGATTTTACAATATATTTGTTTTAATGTAAAAATGGGTAAATTAGTAAAACTGGTAAATTCCAATCAATACCTTTGCGTTTTTCCAGTTTGAAATACATGGCGGAATCTTCCACTCTTGCTGTTCCTTTACAGTCATCTGGAAACATTTTCAAAATGAGTATGCTATAAATCACAAAACACAAGGTAGCACATGGAACAATCTACAATACCTTTCTGCTTGGAGAGTGCATAACAGGGGCAGGAGGCGACGGTGGTCCCCTGGGAATCTTTTTATTAATCCTGAACAACAAAAGATACATGGAAATAAATTAAATAGAAGAAGATTGAAAAACACTGCCAATGTCATGGGAGACAATAGCAAAGTCAACAAAGATCTGATTGTTTACACATACTTGAACCGTGGAGGTTCCATTGGGTCTTTCTGCATTTCCACCATTCGAATCACTCTTTGTTTGGCTCCTGAATTAAAAGCCACACCTTGCTGCGATGGAGTGTATCTATGGTTGAGAGAAAAACAGGAGACATCATTGTAACCTAGCCTGGTCGTACCACACCATAGTCCATTGAGCTCCGTTTACAGGTGGGAGGGGTTAACTCCTTTTGCAGAGTGAAACGATTGGATCTGAGTTTAGCGTGACGTATGCAGTGCGCCCGAGTCTGTCGTTAGCATTTAGCCTAGCCATCTCCTTTGCCGCTAACGGAGCCTGTGGGGAGTAGCGCCACAATTTTTTCCAGCGATTACATTTGCTAAACATTACCCTTGCTCCGGCTTCAATTTCTTGATAGAACCAGACCGGATTACTTTACCATCGCATTTTTCGCCATTACCAAACTACAACTGCCTGTTCGACACAAACTCTTGACATCACCCACAACTAACTACAACACCTGCCTTCCGCGCTCTCTGAATGGTCGGTCGAAATTCAAGCGAAAGTAATCGCTAACATAGGGACTAGACCCAGACGTTACATGCAGTGAAATGATGATTGAACGGAGTGTACGGATGGCTAAGGCCAGGCTAATTGTAACCCTAATGGCAGTGTTGTGCGTGAACGAGTTCAAAAGAACGCGTTCATTGAACACGCTCATTTTTTTGTGAGCGGTGAACTGAACGCAACACATTTTTAATAAAGAACTTGAACGTGGGGCGAAAGTAGCTCAGGGGCGACAGTAGTTCAGGGGCGACAGTAGCTCAGGGGCGACAGTAGCTCAGGGGCGACAGTAGTTCAGGGGCGACAGTAGTTCAGGGGCGACAGTAGTTCAGGGGCGACAGTGGCTCAGTTGGTAGAGCATTGGCCTTTGGGCCTGAAGGTCGTGGGTTCAAGCCCACCATAAGACCTACTTCACGACTCCCATTGATGACTGCTGTAGTTGTGTCCTTGGGCAAGACACTTAACCCCACTTTGCCTGAAGCTCCCACTGAAAGATCTCAGCTCCAGTGGACTCACCACCTGCAGGAGGATCAGTGAGGGGCTGGTGCTAAGTGGACTGGGTGCAGCTCTGACTGCCTACCCCCCCCGACCCAGAAATGGATTAAGGGGAAGAAAATGGATGGAACTTGAACGTGAATTAGTTCATTTTATGTGTCATGAACGGCAGAATTCACTATGAACATTGGAATTTGTTTTCTCTTTTGAAACGCAACGAGAGAAAGTTCCTTCCTCCTGTATTCTCCGCACTTTTCCGCCGAAAACAAAAAAAATCCCACTTTTTCCTCAGTCTGTGAACGCCCCCCAACTCCGTGTTGCAGTGCGGCGCTGTATGCTAGTACTTTTCATGGCTTGTTTGACTCGCATGTGCCCGAGTCATGATGATAACATAGGGTAAGTTAGACACAGAACCAACCGTTTACATTTGACATAAAGTATAGACACACAGACTACAGAAGTTTTGCTCCCATTGAAAATCATGTAAATCTTGTCTGTTTTGGAGTCAAAAGCCTCTCATCCTGTGCAGTGTACAAGAATATAGCTCGTAGTGTGAAAAAAAAGTATTAATTTGAATATCTCACAAAAAAAGTTTAATGAACTTTGAACTAGTTCAGAATTAAAATAGTGAACTTTGAATGTGAACTGTTCACTTTGAGCATGTATGAACTGAACTTGAACTAGTTCAGAAAAGTTATGAACTGGCACAACACTGCCTAATGGTACAAATTCTAATACTGCTGCAATTGAGGGTAATACAAGTTTATCTGCTACTTTTTTAAACAATAAAATGATTATCATGTCACACAAATGAATTATTTTTGTTAACTGTTGCTTCATACATTATGAATGTTCTATGAATAAATAGATCAATGATGGATGATGAGGCCATACCTGATGTACTGTGCGGGGGCGAGCTTGTCCGCTGCTCTCACAGGCATGGCAGCAGCGATCTTCTGGGACACAGCTTTGCTCAGGGCGTCACGGGTCTTTTCTGTCAACTGCATGATACATATTAAGTCACAATATATCAGACGGCATGTATTTTTTCGTTTCTATATTGGAGAATGGATCACACTACAAATACATTACATCATTCTAGGTCTTACCTCTTGTACGGACTCCTCGTCTGGTTTCTGCAGCTCTGAAGCCTCATCGTTCATAACTTCTTTGGGCAGAAGATCTGTGTATTTACTGAACACCACTTTGTCTTTGCTCTGTCCTTGTCTTGCAATGGCATCGTACTTAATCTTCCCCTCCGCGTCCACTTGAACCGCAAGGGCGTTGGACGTCTTTTTCTTGCGGCCCATCTCCTGGGGAAACTGGGCCACGTGGATCTCAGGGAAAGCTCCTCCATCTCCAAAATCCTAAAGAGAGCATTTTATTTATCTTTTAGAAATTATTTATATCCCTATCACATTATTGTTCAAATTGCATATACAGTGTTATACATTTGTAAAATAATACAGGATCTTATTGCTATGAAGCATGAGTGCTAACCACTGTTGCACCATGGATAGTTCAGAATACTTCACACAAAATGCATTGTTAGAGGGCTAGATTTGATTTAAATGTTGAATAGCAACTTAAATAATACAAGAGGTGTCAACTTATTTGCACAGACAGGCAGAAAAGAGAAACTTTATGATATAAACAAGTCTCATTCATTACAGTATTCATGTTGACTATACCATTTAGCAAACCACATGCACTTTGACAGAAATACTATACAACATTCTGTGTTAAAGTTATACTCTGCAGGGATACATATGGGTCTGTCACCTGCATGTCATCATTGAGACATCATTGCTTTGTATGGTACCAACTTTCGCAGCATTTGTTGAGATCATACATAACGTTCACATGGCGAAAAGTGAATTGTAAAACGTTTCACTGTACACCTTTGAACAGCCTTCAATTATGTAGCAATAATTTTGCGATGGGATATAAACTGTGGAATGGAAGAGAGGATAATCTTAAAACTTTATCCTAAGGTTGTTGTCTTTCTCTCCATGCTAAAGTTACCTCGAGTGCACGGGGGACCCAGCCTTTCCTGTGCCTGTACGGAGGTGGCTCTCTGCGGGATGAGACCAGCGCAGTCGAGTAGGTCTTCTGAGCTCGCTGCCTCTCCTCAGCCTCCAGCTGGTCCTGCGACAGCTGCGTGGGAGCCGGTAAAAAACTGGACAAAGTCATGGCAACGATTAGCTATTAGCATTAAGGTTAGCATCTTACACATCACAGGTTAGCTTCATACTGTAGCGTAAAGCTGATGTGTATTATTACGGGCTGTTAGCGATAAATGCGATGCATGATATGTGTTACAAATGTTAAAGCGTTCAGCTATGACCCCAAAGTGACTCAAAGATGAAAATAAAACCGTTCAAAGTGTGTCAATCACGATGTGATGGGGGAGCTAGCTAGGTTAATGCTAATGCTATGCAGAAAGCTTTTCCAGATAAACAGCATCAGCCGAGGAGTCAGAATATTTAGAGTAAAACAATATATACGCACACACACACATTATTTTGGCAATGTTAGACAACACCTGGTATAAAACTGATTTATACGATTAAAAAAGCCACACGGGGAACTTACGCCGCTAGAGACATCTTTGCAATACCAGCTGGACTGAGCATGCGCACTACACTGCATTTGCCCACGAAGATTATCGCGGGATCACAGTGGTGCTGGGCCTTGGCAACGTCATACATTCATGAAGGCATCACCTTATGCATGGATAAGGTGGAAAAAGAGACAATATTTGATTGACGTTTACAAAAACAACATTTGTATGTTTTCTTATCATCCATTGAAAATTAGAAATTTTGGACATGTGGCACAGCACAGCTTTTTTAGTTTTCTTTCAAAATGCTAAAACCAGCACTTGTAAGGAATTATTACTCATTTCAAGTAAACTCTTTTTGAGCAACACAATCTTGACCATTTATCTTTTTGATTTTGTGAAACATGTGTTCTTATTGGTCCTATCAAATAGTTTAAAATTTACCCACAAGGAATTTCACAAGCAAGAGATATGAACATATGAAATTAAGGTTGAAGGTTTAATTCATTGAGGACAATGTGCTGTTGCATAAAAAATATGGCTGCACCAGCTTTAGCACCATGCTGCTTTCCATCTGTAGTCCTTAGATATTAATTAGCTATTAATTTGCATGATAGTGGGCGACAGTAGCTCAGTTGGTAGAGCACTGGCCTTTGAGCCTGAAGGTTGTGGGTTCAAGCCCACCATGGGACCTTCTCCACCGACTCCCACTGATGACTGCTGTCGTTGTGTCCTTGGGCAAGACACTTAACCCTGCATTGCCTGAAGCCCCCGCTGAAAAATCAAGGCTGTATTGTCACTGACAGAGCAGCCGTCCTCCTGTGGACTCACCACCTGCAGAGGATCAGTGAGGGGCTGGTGCTAAGTGAATTGGGTGCAGCTCTGACTGCCACCCCCCCGACCCAGAAATGGATGAAGGGGAAGAAGATGGATGGATGGATGGATATTAATTTGCATGATAGTGGAGATATTCCCATATGTCATAGCATATACATGGATGTATAGATAAGGTGGAAAAATAATAGATATATGAATTGTACAAAAACAATGTGTGTCTGTTTTTATATCATGTCTTTATCTGCAAAGTTACAAACCCATTAAAACTGACAATGGGACATGCATGGCACCAGCACAGCTTCTTTAGTTCGCTGTCAAAAGGCTAAAACCAGCACTTGTAAGGAATTATAACTCATTTCAAATAAACTCTTTTTGATCAACACAATCTTTACAAGTTATCTTTTTTGATTTTGTGAAAAATGTGTTCTTAGCATCCAATCAAACAGTAAAAAAATAGTCAAAACTATTCTATGTCACAAGCAAGAGATTTGAACATATGAAATTAAGGTTACATTGATTAAGGACAATGTGCAGTTAGCACCATGCTACTTTCCATCTGTAGACCTTAGCTATTCATTTGCATGAGAGGTGAGATTTTTCCATATGTCATTTGACTTTGCAGACATGTCTATGTCTTTGCGAAACAAAAATACCCTTTACTGTGGGTACCCTGTCTTTACTTTCCCACAGTAAAGGTTATTTTTGTTTTGCTATGCTATTTCTCATTCTGAAGAGCACCTGATTTTAATTACGTCTTTGACTTTTGGACCCTGTAGCACTCACTCCTCCTGTTTCTGAGAATGTCTATGTCTTTCTTGGTCACTCTTTTCTCTTCATCCCTCTCCTCTCTTTCTCTCTATATTCCCTGTTTTCCTCAGTTTCTCTCTGCCGTTGCAGTTGCCTGTTTCTATAGCAAGAGGCTTTCTGTCAGCGGCTCAGAGGAGACTCCATCATTAATGTGACACTGGGTAAAAGGACACGTCAAGTTCCATTTGTCACAATGCACTGGCCTGGGACACACGGCTCTAATACACCAATCATTTGGCTCTTTCTCACATGTTGTTCTCTCTTTACCTTTGAGTAAAATGTCCCGACCCCCATGAACCTGACGTACTGTATTTGACAAGTTAAGAGGTAGAGAAAAGTTCCAAGAATAAGTTCTTGAAATAATAATAATTGTTTTGAAGTCTCTCCATAATTTTACAAATTATATTTTTCTTGTTATAATTGCCCAATAAAATGTCACGTTGCACTCTCATGAAAGTGGGGCTGTCAAAATGTAAATAACCAGTTGTTAATATAATAATCAAGTTATGAATCAAGAAGTGACAATGCTAGACACTTATTATTAGCAGTATTATGCAGGCTATATGAAATCAAATTATTTTATGAAAATGTGTTTTTTAAATTCATCACTGTGTTATAGAAATTGAAAATTTTGAAATTCTTCCAATCTGTGCCACGGCCCATTCAGTAAGAAAGACATATATAATTCATTCTTTCAATATGATCTTTCAAATTTCTGAATGTATAATATAGATAAATTAAACATGAATAGAGGGCTTTTTTTAACTAAATCAAACAATTTAGCTTAGAAAGGGGACCCTCTTGAAAATTTGCCCTTAAGGTTATGGTATATAAGGTATTCTAGTTCAGTTCAGTTTATTACAAACACAAAATAAAAAAAAATTAACATTAATTTCATATAATACGTGACAGACACCCTTAAAGCAACATTTATGGGGCCCAAGACATTACACAGTACTAAAATATAAAACTATTCTACCTGTACCTCAACCAGTACCGTATTCTTGTAATGTCTTGTGAATAGATTTAGTTTTGGGCTCAACTATCTGTAAAAAGTATAAAAAAGCACATCCGACTCTGACAGGTGTATGGGGCATTCAGACCGCCGACACACATTTTCTAAATTTCAGATCGTAGGGGTGCCAGAAGTCCTGCCCGGAGTGGTGAGAAAGAGGAGAGGGAACTAAAGCGAAAAAAATATCAAAGAACAAATCAGTCCCGGGTGAACCGCATCTGCAAACACGCTACAAGCAGTTGTATACAGTCACGGGAGCAAGAAAACACATTATGTTCACAAGCACTGTGTCCCCCATTGTCAACCCTGGTTTATTCCTGGTGTAGCCCCTGTTTTGGCTTTTACGAGTATTTTCAGTCTGCTCGCTCGACTGCTTATGTCCCCGTGACCACTTTGACAACTGTTTTCAATTCCGACGTCAGTCCATGTCTTTGCATTTCCACTTTGTTTTACAGTTTCTAATAATATATAAACTCATGTTGTGCAACTGTACCCTCATGTTCTATAGTAAGGTCATACTATAATGGAAAAGTCCTGTTACCTCAGGCCTCACAGCGCTTTGATTCAAGCTGACATGAAGGTGGCAGCGCTGGTGGTTTATGCAGTCCTGGCAGCCATAAGAAATCGGGGAAACGGCAGCCTTTGATTACAACCTGAAGAAATGTTAACAGAGCCATCTTGCTGTAAAACTGCACATACCAAACAATGAAAGAATAAATAGAAAGAGGATGCAGTAGCTCAGTATTGATCCGCCTTCAGGGCTGGAGCCGCTTGTTGGAGAAAGCTGCAGTCTTTAGATTTGTATCATGCAATGGTCCACTTCTTTAATGCATTGGCTGCAGGAGGGAATAGCTCTGTTTACTGTATGTTATAAAACCTCAATTGATTCCATTACAATTTTTATAACCCACCTGCAATTCAGACACCTCTACATCAAGCGGAGAGTCAACATGCCATCAAAGACTGAACAGATGTCTTAAAGGCTATAGGAAGGTGGTGATTCAAATGCAACATGGACCATACCCCCGGGTGGCAAGCAATTTGTTTCATACACCATAAGTCAAGACTCAACTTGGGGCTTTTGACATCCAATCTTTAGGCTGTAAAGCACACTGTATGGCGCTTATTTGAAGAAAAAGCTCAAGAATATAAGGTAGCGACGTTATTGCCTTGTATCTACGTTTCTTTCTCAGAAGCACTGAGTATATATCTGGTATAGAAGAAACACATCTAATCTATATATGAACACAAGAAGAGCCTAAATGATCAAGAATTACAGTCCAAACAATTGTGTCAGATTTATTATTGAAGAGTTGTGCCTTGTAGATTAAAGAAGAAATATTACGTATGATGTTTGGCCAATAAAAATTATATTGAGACTTTGTCATTTCATTTTCTAGAATGTGAAATTATATGTTAAGTAGAAACCAAGCCCACTGTCAAACACTGTCATCTGTTAGCAAAAACACAACTAAATTTATGGGCAGTACTTTTTTTTAAAGCAGAAAAATGTTCTCGACTTTATGTCTAGTGGTTCAATTACATTATACTATCACAGGAGTAATAGTGGAAAAGTTCCAAGCTCCCACTCGGAAAAATGGGAGAACGCCGCTCAACTCGAAAAATCCACTTGGCAACTTTAACTGGTCAACTTGGAAATGGTCCTTGATTTCCATAGTTTGCAGGATTGGATGAATATGATATAAGCCTAAGATCGATGTAACATTATAACTAGTGATTTCATGGCCACAAAAGACACACAAATGACTATGATCGTATGTGCAGTGTAAAATTCATTCATTCCTTTTCAACCCCTTTAATATTCCATTTCTGGGTCAGGGGGGTGGCAATGAGAGCTGCCACCCAATGCTCATGGCACCAGTCCCTCGCTGATCCTCTGCAGGTAGTGAGTTCACAGGAAAATGGCTGCTGCATCAGTGGTGAAGAAGCCTTGGTCTTTCAGCAGGGGCTTCATTGTCTTGCCCAAGGACACAAAGACAGTAGACATTTATGGGAGCAGTTGGAGTAGGTCCCATGGTGGGTTTGAACCCACGACCTCCAGGCCCAAAGCTCAGTTGCTTTACCAACTGAGCTACTGAGTCGGAACGTTACAAAGACATCTGAGATCACCTGAAAGCGACATGAGACAGGAGCTCTTAGAAGGTGCACAGTTACATGTTTGTCCTGATATAAGCACAATCTAACACAGACATTTTTTTTGGATTAGGGAACAATGTAGTCAAATTTTCATATTATGTCTACTTTAAAGCATAAAGATGTCTATGTAGGCCAAGCACTATATTGCTTGGCTAATGCAATTTGATTTAAAGAAAAAAGGATTTAACATTACTAAATAATTTAGTGGTAGTGGTAACAACCTGGAGCTG